AGTGTCCTTGTGCTTTCTGTCTGTTTGTGAAAGCCAAGGCTGAGTAAAGACCCAGACCCAGCCAGCTAACTTCATCCATAAAAGACTGGAAAGTAAATATATTAGGGCTTATGGTATATATGGTCCCTGCCACAGCTTTATAACTCTGCAGTTATAACACAAAAGCACCATGGGCAATACTTAACGAATGAGTGTGGCTATATTCCAATAAACTTTATTTACGAACACTGAAATTTGAATTTATGTCATGAAATACTACTCTATTGATTTTTTTTCCAACCACATGATCTATACAAAAATAAGCAATGGGCAAGATTTGGCCATGGGTCAATCTGACAACCCCTGATCTACACAGACAATTAAATCAAGCAGAGAAATTTAAACCATTTCACAAAAAATTAGCTATTACCAGGGAAAGCCAGAGTTAGGTGGTAGTGGTGGTAGGACTTAATTTTCTATATACAAAGTTGTCTGAAGGCAGTTTCTACTTAAATAATTCAAGGGAGACTGGGGAAGCCCTGACAAAGAAATAAAGTTTCTGAGTACACAGATAAAAGGCAATCAATATGCTCTCTAAGGACAAAAACCTAGAGTTGCAGGGAACTGTCCTATAGCCTATAGAGTTCTCAATGTGGAAACTATAATTTTATGTAACTTTATGCAGGAAGAAAGGAAGCAGCAATTTAACAATCAAGTTAAGGGAAAGAAGGGCAACAAGATGATTATAATCAGAGCAGAGGGAACTGAAAATTCTAAACAGGCCACAGATTCAGGAACAGGGTTGTAAATGGTGACATCTCAAGCTAAAGCAACTAATAAAATCAGCTGTGTGCAAAAGAAACTAACCTGAAGAGATGGTTTGTAAGCCTATTGTTAATGAGAAGGATATCTTCAAAATCTCATCAGACACTAAAAAACAAATAATCTGAAGTAAGTTTATTTCAGAATAACTGAATCCTACCTATCTGTGGTAACAGCATAATAAAAGGATAGAGGTCCACACAGAAACTGGAGAAAAACAAGCCAAAAGTAAGAATCTGTGTTTCTCTGCAAGATGGAACAGTGTGCCTACTCAGTGTGCCTATCTTGCTTAAAAGAAACATCCTATCTCTTATCAAGTCTCTCTATTCAACTAGCCACTTGTGGAAGAGAATGGCTTCTCAGATTTTCCTATTGAGAACAGACATTGGCCAGGCCACTCCAGTGTCTCTTCTGCTTTGCAGTTATATCTTTTCCTTATAAATTAAGAAACTGAGCTAGGCTTGGTGGCACACAACTACAATCCTAGTACTTGGGAACTTGAGGGAGGGGAATCATGAGGCTAGCCTGGGCTACAGAGCAAATTCAAGGTCAACCTAGGTTGCAATAAGCAACACCCTGCTTCAAAAAACCTAAATAAATAAATAATTTAAAAAAAAAAAAACTTAGAAACTGGTGGGCTGCTAGCTACTCAGGAGGCAGAGATCAGGAGAATCGTGGTTTGAAAATAATTCAAGAAACTCTATCTTGAAAATAAACAACACAAAAAAGGGCTGGTGGAATGGCTCCAGTGGCAAAGTGCCTGCCTAGCAAGCATGAATGAAGCCCTGAGTTCAAACCCCAGGACCATCAAAAAAAAAAAAAAAAAAAAAAAAGAAACTGGTAAGCCTGATGTGCCTATAATCCTAGCATTAAGCAGACAGAGGCAAAAGGAGCTTAAAGCTAGCCTTGGACTACATAGCAAGACCATGTCTCAAAACAAAAGCAAAAACAATCCTCCCCACCTGATATTCCTGTGTATTATGAATAGCCTCCAAAAACCTCTTAATTAGAAGAAGGAGTGAACTGATTTAAAAAAAAAAAAAAAAATCCTGCAGTTATCCCATGCATGCATTTTCTAAAATTGCAAACTGAAGACAAGGTAGTAGAGAATGCCACAAAGGGACACAAACCCTTGTGAGGCCCCTTATTCAACAACCACTAATTGGCCTTACTCTCTTTTTGCTGCCCTTAAAGCAAAGGCAAAGACACTGGATTCTGGAGTCAGACTGCTTGGTTTAAACAAATCCCTGCCCCATGGATTCCTAAGGTTTTTTCAACTCCATGGGCAGTTTCTGCTTATTAAACAGAGATGAAAGAGGGATATATCTCCAAGAGTCATCGGGAATATTAAAAGAGAGGATACATGTGAAGTACTTGGCACAATCTAGCACCTAGAAAGCACTCAGTAAGTGGAAGCCTTTTTTGTTACTGCCATCATTATATTTATTATTACTACTGACTATATAATAATGCTGCATTCACTGAGCATGGCAACATTCTGGAAGCTGGCCTCCACATAACAGCTTCCCTCTTCATCTGAAGCTCTGAAGAAAGTCTCCCCTTTCTAGGGCAGTGTATTAATTCCAATTCAAAACCCCAACCAACTTCTTCACAAGTTTTTTGCTTTTGTTTATTTTGAGACAGAGTCTCATTACGCCAAAATAATGAGACTCATGTTCAAGACTAGGACTTACAATTCTGCCTCAGTCCCCAGAATGCTAGGATTAGACATGTGCCACCACACCTGGCTTCCACAAGCTCTTTAATGAAGTGCAGAGCTGTTCCTCCTTTAACAGCTACTGTCTTCAGCATAAAAGCACATCTGCTCACTCTCATTTCTCAACTTCCAACCATTCTTATTTCCTAACTTCCAACCAGTCTCATTAAACATGACAACTGCCTCAAGTTTTACTACCCCTCTTTTTACACCTCCCCTTCAAAATTATAAGAGTTCTCCAATATTATGACGAATTTACCACCTACCAGCTACCGATATAAGGAATAACATTTCCTTATGTACAGTAGGTAAGAATATAGATAGCCACTGGGAAAATGTAAAAGAAAATCCACAATAAGATGCTACTTTGCAACCAGCAGAATGGTTATAATAACAGCACATAATAAGTATTGGCGAGGATGTGAAAAAATTCTAATTTGCACATGCTGTTAGTAGGAATATAAAATGGTACAGACACTTTGGAAAATAGTCTGGCAGTTCCTCAAAAGTTAAATACAGAGTTATCATATGATTCAGAAATTCCAATCCTACGTACATATCCAAGAGAACCGAAAACAGATCCACACCAAAACTTGTCTATGAGGTGCTGGAGATACAGCTCAATGGAAGAGTACTTGCATACCATGCAAGAGACTGGGTTCAAAAGAAAAGAAAGAGGGAGGGAGGAGACAGGGAGGAAGGAAGGAAGGAAAGAGAGAAGGAAGGAAGGAAGGAAATAAAACCTGTTTATAACAGCACTATTCATAATATCCAAAGTGGAAACAATCTAAATGTGAGATACCTACAAAATGGAGTATCATTTGATAATAAAAAGGAACGAATACTGATAAATGCTACAGCATGCACGAACCTTGAAAACATAACTAAATAAAAGAAGGTAGTCACAAAGGCTACATATTGTGACTCCACCTACAAAATGTCCAGAATATGCAAATCTGTAAAGACACAAAGGAGACTGGTGGTTCCCAGGGAATGAAGGGGTTGGGAAGAAATGGAGAGTGACTGTGGGAGAGGGATAGGTTTTCTTTTGGAGATGATAAAAATGTTGTCAAATTAATTATGGTGATGGGAGCCCAGCTCTGAATATGCACTAAAAATCACTGACTACACACATTAAATAAGTTAATTATGTAAGTAATATCACCATAAATCTGTTATGTAATAAATAAATGTTTGCCAAATGACACAGAAAAATGACCTAGAAAAAGAGTCCCTTAAGGGCACAAAAAGAGGCATGGGAACAAAACTAGCTACAAACTCATGATAATGGGTTTAAGTGTGCCCTTAAAGCAATAGACTGGGCCTGTCATGGTGGCTCAAACCTGAATCTCTGCTATTCAGGAGGCAGAGATCAGGAGGATCTAGGTTCAAGGCCAGCCTGGGCAAAAAGTTAGAAAGACTCCATCTCAACAAAAAAAGCTTGGATGTAGTTATGTCATCCTAGCTATGTGGGAGGTGTAAGGAGGAAGACTGTGGTCCAGGCCAGCTGGGGCAAAAAAACAGAAGACCCTACCTAAAAACAAACAAACAAACAAACAAAAAACTAAAGCAAAAAGGGCTTAGGCATGGCTCAAGTGCTAAGAGTACTTGCCTGAGTTCAAACCCTAGTACCACCAAAAACAAAAACAACTCAAAGATCTATTTTCTGAAGTCATTCAAACATGTTAGCTTTTCATGTGACTCCAAAACATTTCATCATCCTAGTTATAGACCATATAAATACAATTCTTACAACAAACATACATTTAATCCATTTTATAGTTTGGGTGCCCCTGTATTGTTAAGCCTCATAGCTAATCATACTCATCAAATTGAAATCATTTGTTTATTCCACAAAAAAATTTTTTTTTTTTTTTTTTTGAGACAGGGTTTTACTGTTTATCCCAGGCTGGCCTCAAACTCAGCAATCCTACTGCCCCAGCCTCCTGAATAGCTGGGATTGCATGCATATACCACCATGACCAGCAAGCAAACCCCTTGGGTTTTTGCTGTTGTTGTTGTTGTTTGTTTTGTGGTGCTGGGGATCAAAGTCAGGGCCTCCAGCATGCCAGAGCTCTACCGCTGAACTACAGTTCCAATTGCCACCCTGTTTTAAAGAGACAGTTTTACTATGTTGCCCAGACTGGCCTCAAACTCCTATGCTCAAGTGATTCTCAATATCCCAAGTAAGTGGGACTATAGGAGACCACCACCAGGCCTAGCTCTTAACAAACACTTATTATATGCCTACTGTGTGTCAAGCAGTGTTCTAGTGTCAGCAATGATAAGATGGCTGAGATGCAAGCCCTGCTCTCAGAGTGAGCCAAGAGTTAGTTATAAGGCACATAGTAACGAAACACTCTGACTTAATGTGGCTACAAATGAATGAAGCTCATAATGAATGTGTTCCAATGAAAATGGTGATACAAAACAATTACTAGGTGATGACCATCAACCCTTCAGGGACCCATACTCCTCCTACCTGTTAACATGCTCCTCCCAGTCCTCTGGTGGGGGAGGGGCATCTGCATCTGTCCTGGCAAAGATGACATGCCGTTCACACTCGTTCATCACACTGCGTGCCTTCTGATTGTCATAGAGTGGCACAGGAGTTGATGTGACCGTCTCCACATCTATTGGGACATCTGATTCACTGTAACAGGTGAGGAAATAGGACCATGCCACATGTACTTCACATAATACATGTGTCTAACAATCATCTGATTGCCAAAAAATGTCTCCTTAATATAGTCAGCTTTAAATAATGAGTAAGCACATTATATTCACAAAATTTTGACCCAAACTCATCTTCCCCACATTTGTCTAAAACTCTGTCCTCCCTCCGGTACGTGTTGGAGGAACATAGTCATTTTAAAATGAGTCTACACAAAAAAGTGACAAACAGCTATTAAAAAAAAGACAAATGTATCCATGAGCAAACAGTTGACTGTCTAGACACACTGTCCAAGTACTGAAGCTACAAGCCAGATGTGACTACTTAAATAAATTTAAATTAATAAAATCAAATACAACTAAAAATACAGATCCTCCGTCACACTAGATACATTTCAGGCGCTTAATAGACATGTGCTATTGCACAGGACTAGAACACTACTATTACAGAGATTCCTGTTAGGACAGCACTGGTCTATAGCTTTAAATTAGTCACAAAAACTCTCTTTTGTTAACAAGCCAAGTGGTAGTTAGACAGATCCCCTGGAATGCAGAGGCAATTTAACATATTTTGTACAAAGTCTAAAACAGAAACAAATATAAATGGACATCTGAACAAACTTTCACAATTAAAATTCTAGAGCCATGAGGTTCCTTCCCCACCTCACAGTACACTGCACCAACTTTATCACTGAAAATACTATGCCAATCAAACTGATCTACCAGGTTGTGCAGTCTTTGATCTTGATCTTGTGGTATCCATTTCCAATGATTGGAATAATTACTTCATTATGAAATGAAGCGAAATAAATATGCAGCTAGATTTGGCAGAGCTGATCATATTCTCTGGGTCAGACATTAGGCTAGCACTCGGACGTGGACACCTAAAAGAGTACTCTTGATTTCACCACCCCAAACCTATTCTTCCCTAGTCTTCCCCAACTCATGGGATCAAAATCTTAAGAGTCATCCCCTTATTTTTGGCCCTTCTTTCCAATTCACTATAAAAGGTCTTGTTGGCTGTACCTATGAAATACATCTCAAGGCCTTCCATTTTTCTCTATTTGTACTGTTCCCAATCTATATCCAGGCTATCATGATTTCTGACCCATCTCAGGCTAATACAATGGCCTCTTAGCTGATCTTCTGAATTCCCCTCCTGTACTATAATCTATTTTTTTAAATCAAGTGATTTAAGATATAAATTAGATCTCTAGCTTAAAACCCTTCAATAACTTACCACACTCAGAATCAAATTCCTAGATGAGATAACCTCTGTCGACTACTCCCTCTCACTTACACCCCTACTTATATTCTGCAACAATGACCTAACAGAGTTTCTACAATATGCCAAATTTCCACTCTCAGGGCCAGTATGTCTTCACATATTGGAGGACTCATATGGGGAAATAGTACTCTCAGTACCAGAACAATCAACTCTACTGAATCTCATTTTAAAAATATGTCATGAGACATGGACATATGAGTTTCAACTTCAGCAAGAAGCTTCGCAAAGCAAAGATGAAAAGATTTAAAGGAGCTTTGCAGTTATGCCCCAAGCCAGAGGCATCAGGGTTATGCTAAAGTCACAGATCCTGCGCCCTGAAAAAAAGCCCACAAAATGATAATATCATTGGGAAATGAGATAAAAAACACACATAGTTAACCCTCTTTAATTTCCTCCTCCTATCTAAGTGGTATAGGTTGTCTGCTTTCCTTTGCACAGCCTGCTTTTCTCACTCGTTAGGAAATGTCTCATGTGCAGATGTCCACATTTTGGCCTGACATGTTTATGCTACTTAACAGATATGCCTGAATTAAACATCCAAACTCCCTACACAATATCCCCCAATCACTGTGGGGGGGGCAGGGGGATCCTCTCTAGTCCCCACTATCTGATCACTGCCCAGTTTGGGCATCAGCAGTCCCGAGGAAGCCCAAACTTACATGGTACTCTCATGCTGCCGCCGTGGAGTTACAAAGAGCATGCGGGTGGGGCGGGCACTACTGGCATCTGGGTGGGCACTCCATGGCTTCGCATAGCTATGATCCAGAAAAACGAGGTCCAGCTCCCGTTCGTGCACTGAAAGCTGGAAGAGCAGTGAGGTGCCCATGCGCCGAGCTGAAGTCTGGAAGTCCCTCTCCCCACCCCGGTGGGCCATGTCAGTAGAGGGGCAGCCTCAGAGCATGGGTATCTGCATGCTAGTCACCTGCAGTGAAAAGTTTGCTTATCAATTCAAACATTCTAAATGTCTCCCAATCTAGACTCTACTATGCTTACTTTTGTGATCCACTATCATTCATACCGGGTACCTATTGTACAGCACTTTCAAGGAGGGTTCCTGAGATCTCACATCCCCAAAAGGGTGATGGATGGGTGCCATGCGTTCCTCCATACTCGAGCTCTACAAAGTAAGTAACTGGAATCTGAGGGACAGTTCACAAAGACCTCACTTGGGCAGAGTATAAACTTGCGGGGCCTGCACAATTTCCTACATAAGTGGGAAGGGTTTGGGGAAAATGAGGAATCACAACTATGAATTGTTTATAAGCTAAGGCCCCTTATTTCCATTCTCTAAAGAATTCTGTAAGAGCGGGGCGCCCTGGGCCTCTAGGTAGTCAGCCACAGCAAGGGCGCCGGGTCTTTCCTTCAAGTCCTGGGTTGTTGGAACAAGTTTTGCAACTACTTCGTAATATTCTGGAGGTGTGAAAACAGGAGAACGAGCGCTCCCCCACAAAACCTGGGACAGGACGACGCCCCAGGAAGCCCTTTCTCCCGCACCCTAGTGGAGCCCCGACGAACCGCCCGGTACTCCAGGTACCCCAAGGGGTTCCCGCCACAGAACCTCAAGACGGCCCACCCAGTAGGCAGGGCTTATGGTTCCACGTGACGGACGAAGGCGGCGGCTCCGGGGGGGCTGAAGCGACTGGGCCAAGGTCACCGAGAGTTCGCGAAGAGGAGGAGCCGCCCGGCCCCAGCTTCGCGCTCCCTGGGCCCGGCTTGGCGTCCGCCTCTCAGCAACCCAGGCGTGGCCCTCAGCCCCGCAGCCCGGCTCCAGCGCCCCCGTCCCCGCATGCCCGAGGACCTCCCCCGCCAGGCCCTTGCCGACACCGCCACCCGCCCCGACCGCGACCCCCACGGCCCGCCACCCTCGCCAGCGCCGACGCCGGTCTCACCCGCAGTCGTCGGGCCGCGCGCTCGCCCGGGCCGGACCCCAACGCGCGTGCGCGCTACCGCCTCCGCGCCACGGCCCGGCCTCCAAGTAAAATGCGGAAGCGGATCACGGATGGGAAGGGAGGGAGCGGCGAGCGGCAAAGCCCGGAAAGGTCTTGGCTGCTGCGACCTGGTAGGCTAGAGAGGAGCCGGGGACGCGCGTACATCTCCGAGGTGGAAATTTCCTCCCTGCGCATAAAAGCGAGGGCAAAGGATGAGGATGAACCTCGGTACTAGCCGCCCCCACCCTGTTGGTTCTTTGCTCTGTGTTTCGCCGCTCCAAAGGCAGGGATGGGAGGGCGCGCACTAGATCCACCTCCGCCCACGCAGTTCATTTGGATTTACTGAGTTTACTCCTTGCTGGAGGCGTGACTCAAGTGGGAGAGTGCTTGCGTAGCAAGCATGAGGCTCTGGGTTCAATCTCTAGTACTGCTCAAAAAGGAAAAAAAATTACTTATGCGGGGCGCTGGTGGTTCACGCCTGTAATCTACTTAGTTGGGAGGCTGGGATGGGGAGGATCACCGTTGGAAGCCACTCTTGGTAAAGTTTCCAAGACCCCATCTCCAAAATAACCAGAGCAAAATGGATTGAAGGTGTGGCTCAAGCGGTAGAGTGCCTGCTTTGCAAGCACTAAGGTCTGAGCTCAAACCCTAGTCTTAAAAAAAAAACAAATTTACTCGTTAAAAATGTCTTAGCCAGGTGTGGTGGCTCATACCTCTATCCCAATACTAGGGAGGTGAGACAGAAGATCATCAGTTTGAGAACAGTCCGAACAACATAGCTAGACCCTATCTCAAAAAAAATTTTTTTTTTACTCTCAACAAAGAAAACAGCCACAATAAAAATAATTAATTTAAAAATAAAATATTACCGCAAATCAAAAACTGCTCTAAAAAATAAAATCCACCAAAAATGAATAAATTTGCCTGCCATAGTGGTACAAGCCTATAATCCCAGTACTCTGGGAGCAAAGACAGGAGGATCTGGAGTTCCATCCAGTCCTTCCTCCCCACGGGGAGACCTGTCTTAAAAAAAAAAAAAAATTAAAATTACAGAAGTTTGCCGAATGTTGGCCAGGGCCCTTCCCTGAGGAGTTGAAAGCATTCAGGGAAGATGCCCTCACTCTGGCCAGTCACCCTCCACCTCCTTGTCCCTGTCACATTTAATTCATCACTCGCCTATCTGCACACCACACCAGTCTCAACCTAGATTTTAATAAAGTGTTCCTGGGATGGAAATCAGGGATCAAGTCCTACTATTTAATCCACTAGAGGATTGATTCATCTGGGTTACCCTATCAGGGCCAGGAGTGCAACAACTGACTTTTATGCTGATGGAAATAGATGCAGAGACCTGTCCAAAGAAAGAGAAGTAGTGCTCCAGAGGGCACCTGCAATATCACATGGGGCCTTGAATGCCCAGAGGAAAATGGAGGAAGGTGAGTAGTGGAGAGAAAGCAGGTAAATTGTCATTTCACAGTTCTGGACTGTTTCCAATACTACAATGAACCTTTTCTATAGCAAAGACTGTTAACTCTTACTACTGTACTGCGTGTTTTTTCCTGTGCTCACAGCAGACATAATTAATCAGTCACAGTTCCCTCTACCTCTGAACCCAAATGCAACTTCAAAATCACTTTTCAACATATCACTCTGGGTTGTCACTACCAATTTGTAAGAGTTGACCTTCTCCTTTCTGATAACCTACAGTATACACTATACCTTCATTCATTCATTCACAAATCTTTTTTTTTTTAAATTCTGCTTCTTTGAGACAGGGTTGCACTATGCAGCCCCAGACTTGTCTGGAATTTGCTTTATAGCCCAAGCTACACTTGAACTCATAATCCTGCTTCTACCTTCTGTGTGCTGAGATTACAGTCATGCTCCACAGCACCCATCCTAAATTTTTTGTGTATATGTGATACACATTCTTGCTAAGTTAGGTGCTCTACTACTTGAGCCACTCCACTAGCCTTTTTTCATGTTGGATAGTTTTTTTTTTGGGGGGGGGGCGGTGGTACTGGGGTTTGAACTCAGGGCCTCAGGCTTACTAGGCAAGCGTTCTACAACTTGAGCTGCTCCTCTAGCCCTGTGGTGGGTATTTGTGAATTAGGGTCTCTCTTTTTGCCCAGGCTGGACTCGAACCACAGTCCTCTTGATCACTGCTGCAGAGTGGCTAGGATTTCAGAGTGAGTCACCAGCGCCTGATTCCAGCCTAAATTGTTACCATGCAATTAGACCTGTACTAGGAGCTAAAGATACACCATACTTATTTTTAATGTACATAAACAATTATTTGATTTATAACAGTAATAATTAGAGTACAACCTTAGAGAATGCCGAATAAGATTTTTTGGGCAGTACTGAGGTTTGAGCTCAGGATCTCACTTTTTCTATTTAAGTTCCTTGCCACTTGAGCCATACCCCAACCCTTTTTTGCTGTAGTTATTTTTTGAGTAAGGTCTTCATTTTTGCTCATGCTGGCCTAGACCTCCTATTTAAGTCTCCTTTGTAGCTGGAATGACAGGCATGAGCCACTGTGCCCAGTCCACAAATTTTAATGACATAAATTACTTATATCATTTAGTCTTCCCAACAACTTTATATACTAGGTTCTATTATTGTCATATTCGGGGAGGTATAAATTTTTACCAAGGTCTCATAGCTACTAATAGCAAAGGCACTGGAACATAAGCAGCTGAGTGGAGAGGGATGAAGTTGGGGAGGAAGAGCATGAAAGATTTCATAGGTGTCCCATTAAGGAATTTTGGTGCTAACCATGGACAGCTTTGTATTAACTTTCCCATGTGTTTTTTGTTTTGTTTTGTTTTGTTTGTAAAGAGAGTAGATCCTCGAAATCAGGCATTTTAACTTTTTTGTATCCTCCAGAGAACAGAGCAAAGGACATACATAGGCAATGGTTCATGTATAGACTGATCAATGATCGATTAATTGGTTGACTGACAGCAGGGCATCAAGAGACATGACAGAAGACATGCTTCAAGGTGAAAAATAAATCTTTACCACTTTACATCCATTAGGGGAGCTAAAAAACTAACAATGGCAACAATGCTAAAAAAAAAAGTGGTAGCAAGTAGGTGGCGAAATTAAAACCCTCCCTCATTGCTGTGGGATAAGAAGGTGGCACAGCCACTTTGGCAGTTCCTCAGAAAGTTAAACGTGGAGTTAGCATATGACCCAGTGATTCCACTCCCAAGTTTATACCTAAGGGAATTGAAACACACACACACACACACACACACACACACACACACACACACACACAAAATCAAATACATGAATGTTCAGAGCAGCATTACTTATAATAACCAACATATGGATACAATCAAAGCCCAACAACTAATGAAGGGTAAACAAAATGTGGTATATCCACACAATGAATTGACTCAACCACAAAAAGCAATGGAGCACCGATATATGCTACTACGTAGACAAACTTTGAAAACATTATACTAAGTCTGGTATGAACTTTCCCCATCTTCCTTTGGAGCAATCTTTTCACATTAAATTTTAACAGCTCTTTCCTTTTGGATATTAAATATATTGCAAATGCATTTCCTACTTTGATATTTGTCTTTTAACTTAATGGTATATTTTCTGTACAGGAATTTGAATTTTATTTTCATATTTATTTTGGCTTTTCGAGACAGGGTCTCGCTATGTAGCCCAGACTGTCCTCAAGCTCATAGTCCTCCTGCTTTAGACTCCTAAGTGCTGGGGTTACAGGCATGGTGGTGTACCCTGAATTTTTAACATTATCCAGCCAAATACATCAGTGTTTTCCTCTGTGGGGGGGTCTATGCTTAGTTTGGAAAATAATTAACAAAGCGAAAATCATTG